ACAGTGGTAAGGAGTAATAATAGTGCGCCTGTTTGTGGCGCGCAGGGGCTGCTCTTTCCGAGTTCCAGGTACAAGGCGCAGTTTGTGTTATTTGGCTTCGGGCTTCTGGTAGGTACTTGTCCTAGTACTTTGGGAGCTACTACAAATCCCGTAGTATCTAGAACTCACGGCCATAATGTTGCTGTCTAACTTTGTGATGAAAATTGCAACTATGGTTATCAAGGAGGCTTTTACTGACACCAGAGTTGTAAGCATGTCCATTCTTGCTAGAACTCTTTACCAGCGAATGTTACGGTCATCGCAGCCAAAGCTTGAAGCCCTAGTTCAGACGAAAAGCATGTCATGCATGGCAAGGGAGCGAAAACTTTAAGGATATTTCTCAAGATAGCGATCCAAGTTGTGGAGGTACACAAAATACACCCCAAAAAAGGGCCCATGATTGAAAACAACATGCAAGTTGTTCTCGCAATTACGTGCTCTCTGGGGGTATCACCCATGATACCACACAACCCTAAACCCTAAACCCTAAGCCCTTTGGGGTGCTAAACCTAATTTGAGAAACGCTCCGGATAGGATTTGGGCTGAGTAGGCCGAATATGATACCACACCTATCCAAAGAATTCTGACTAGGGTTTAGGCTTTAGGGAAAAAACCCGATCCAATCATACCCCTAGTATTGCTGCCTCATTTTCTATCAGCAATATATATATACATATATATATATATATATTACCATCATTATTAAATGAGTACCGTTGCTTCTATAGTTACTATTATCACCTTTGCTTGTATTCCTGTTGTTTCCATTATTCATATGGCTGTGAATCAAAACCCTGTTTTGTCGCGGGTCCCCCCCACCATCCTTACCCCTTTGCGGCGGCCTGTTGTTACATGCCTTTGTCGCGAATGCTTGGCGCAGGTATGCCCTACAAAAGAACATGTGTCGCGGAATGGCCGCCCAAGCCTGTTACAAACCCAGTGTTTTTGATTCACAGCCATATTAGCCCTTCACCCCCACCCCTGTTCTCAAATAAATAACTTGTGGGGAATATCTCATATTAGGGGTGTGGGGATGGTTGACACTAGTACGCGGGGATTATGAGATCGAAAACCAGCAACACGTCAAACCAGCCACTTAACCTGAAATTAAAATGAGATATAGTCTAAACTCCTTAAAGAGGGCTATATAGGGGATATATAGGGGACCATCATAGGGCTAAGGGAGATACTAGGAGTTTTGACTATACCTCACCACTCCAGATGAAGACCCTGTGACTCTTGTATGACTTTATAGGGTCCTTGTTTCGGGGGTCGGGATTGTCATAATCCTCATACGGTACGACGGTGATTCCCTCTGCAACGGGTGACGTGGCCATTCCTTAACATCTCCGGTTTGGGCAAGACTGTTATATAGAATTAATGGGCCCCTCATTTATGGAAACTCCCAAATTCTAAGCAGTGGTCCAGTGCCGCTTCAAGCACTTGCTGCAATGCCACACTCTTGCACTTGACTATGACAAGGCGATCTCAGGTCCATAGAGAATACAACAAATGCATCCAGTTCCCTCTTGACGCAGGCAGGAAAGACCCCCTACTGCTTGAACCCCTTCAAAGGTGAGCTGGGAGCAAGACTCTTTTCCGATGCGAAGCCTCCAAACATGCCCTCCCGTCCTGGAGATCAGCTAACCCAAAGCTTGGCGTTCTAGTAAATCGCGGGAGGGAAATCCCGACATAAAGAAAATGGTCTGAGATATTGTTAATAGGGTCCCGCGATGGGAACCTGTGCTGGGCCCAAGTGTATACCATCTAGGTACTTGGACATAACGAGGGTATTGGGGATCCAAAACCAAGGGTCACAAGCATCCATTAAGGGCACAAGTCTTAAAGTCTGCGCCTCAGGTCTACGAGAGACCCCATTCAAGACAGGCTCCTTCATGTGTATCACACCGTTCAAGTATGAGGGCTGTAGGTACCAAGGACCATTACGACTCCACCATGTCATTTAGGTCCTTGGGCCTTTAGGAACCCAAAAGCACAACAACAACAGAACACCCAGACCAGCAACCCTACATAGCAGGGCTCCTGATTTTGAGAACATCATATTTGGGAAATGCCTATAACCTTCAAAGAAACTCGAGTCAACGGACACAACTATGCATGATGCAAGGCTCTGTTTAACAAAAGTGTTGCAAAACAAATCATCTGGATCATCCCCTTTGAAGGTGTCTCAGGCTGACGTCAACTTATGCACCCACATCCTACTATGGACCTAACAAGGCGAACTCCAAGAGAACCCGTACTGTTGAGAAATAATCACATGGCAATTTCTCAAGATCTCACCCACATAGAACTATCTGCGCACACATCCTGTTTACCAGGGCGATGAGACCCCGCTACAGGCTAGTAGTCAGAAGGGATGTCAGGAATCTACGCTGTGGAATTGTAGCCACAGAGACATTAGTGCATCTTGATGCCGCCAAGGGATGACCCATTTGATTCGCTAATTACATCCACCCTTCGACGTCCCAGTCCCTGGAGGCATGCAATGCAGCGCATACGTATGTCTCACAAGTGCACCATGAGAACAAGGAACATACGTTCCTGCCCTCCTACCCTCAACCCCCCAAACTCCACTTCTGAGCCCAACAGCCCCGTGGAACCTTTGCTTACAAGTTCACGGCGAATCTAATCCAACCCAGTTATATGCCCCAAATATGGCTATAATTGGGTTACAAGCAATTACCAATTTTCATTGGGTTGCAATTATTAGCCTACGTTCTATTCCCTAAGGTGCATGCTTCAAATCCCACACGGCCATTAGCACCTTACACGCTGGAAATTCGGGTGCAATGGTCTACTCACGCCATGCAAAAAATTTCTAGTATCATCCGTATATATACGCCAAATAATCCACATAAATGCATAAACCTCTGAATGGGATGGGGTCCCGTGTCTGCCGAGGTCCCATAGGATTTGGGCTGAGTAGACCGAACATGATTCCACACCCATCCCAAGAATCCCGTTTTGGGTTTAGGGGTTAGGGGTTTAGGGACGAATCCCAGTCCCTGTATAACTACACTTAGTATTGCTGCCGTTATCTTTATCACCATTATATATTACCGGTACCATTATAACTGCTCTGATTACCAGTATTACGATAATTACGATTATCACCATTGCTCATATTCCTGCTATCTCCATCATTCGTATTAGAACCCCAACCCCGCCCCTTATATCAAATATATATCTTGTGGGGAATATCTCACAGCAGGGGTATATTAGTACGCGGAGACTATAAATTCGACAGCCAAGAACACGTCAACCCAACCACTAAACCTCAAGCTAAAATCAGTGTAGTCGCAACTCCTTACACAGGGTTATATAGGGGATATATAGGAGACCATCACAGGGCTTATCAAGGCGGAGAATACAAGACTGCATCCAGTTCCCTGTGGACGCAGGCTGGATGCACAATAAACTGCTTGAACCCCTTCAACGGTGAGCTATTCCTAAAACTCCTTACCGCTGCGAAGCCTCCAAAGATGCCCTCCCGTGCTGGAGATCGGCCAACCCAAGCTGCTGCTCCGGCTCCTCTGAACAGCTTGTGGTTGGCCACACATTTGCAATCAAAAACTTACCCAGCTCCAGAAGCTCTGCTGCAAGTGTGAGCTTTCGGTTCCAAGAACCATTCCGACTACAATGTGTTGAGCCTCAAACCGCATCATGTGGGTACTTGGACCCTTTGGAACACAGAAGCAGAAAACAGCGGAACACATAGACCAGCGACCCTAGATAGCAGTGCTCCTGATTTTGAGAACATCATATTTGGGAAATGCCTGTAGCCTCCAGAAAAACTCAAGTCAACGGACACAACTATGCATGATGCAAGGCTCTGTTCAACTACACTGTTGCAAATTCACTTGGATCAACTCCTTTGGAAGTTTCTCATGCTGATGTCAACTTGTGCACCCAAATCCTACTATGGTCCTACCGAGGAGAACTCCAAGAGAACCCATACTGTCGAGAAACAATCACTTGGAAGGTTCTCAAGAAGACACCAATGGAATCTTAGGGCTTCTAGTCTAGGGCTTAGTATCCAGGCTGAGGCGAGCACGCTACGGAAATCTGCTGCAGAGAGTACATCTGCTGATCTGAACTGGCAGCTTCTGTTCAGGTCTGCAACGATACTTGATCCAAACCCTTCAAGTAACACAGAACCGACTGCTTGAAGTCCTTCAAAGGTGAGCTATGAGCAAGACTCCTTTCCGATGCGAAGCCTCCAAACATGCCCTCCCGTCCCGGAGATCAGCTAACCCAAAGCTTGGCGTTCTAGTGAGCCCCATCTTCAAATCACGAGAGGGAAATCCCGACATAAAGAAAATGGTCTGAGATAGTTGAAAACTGCCTCCCTGAACTTCAGAGACTGCGCCGTACTTCTCAACCTGAGCGAGCTGATAATTAACCCCTAATTAATCCCCTATATAGCCTGAGCCTGGGCAGGTATAACTCTCAGCCCCTCCCTTGTGAGCACAATCCCGAATCCCCAGATTTATGATCCTGTATCACTAGAGGCATCTCGCATCTCATTCAGAACCTAGAAGGTATTGCGTCACACTCTTACTTCTTGAAGAGGAAGCTTAAGCACATCCTCCGGAACCCGCACCTGCAGCTTCTTCGTGCCCCTTTGCTCCATTGCTCCAAGTAGCGTCAGACGCACGGCTTTTATTTAAGGTCTGGGCAACTGGTCAATGGAAAATGTCAAACATCAAGGGCCCCCAACGTTTTTTTGGCTACGATGTGTGTAAACAGACATGTGGTTTGGCTACTTCAGCGTTGCTTACATGCTGCTGCCAGAGCCTCATCGAAGTGCAAATACAGAGTTCAAGTGTGCATCCGTAGAGACCCTAGGCACATGTAAAGCATTATAGCCTTCAAAGTGCGAGAAAGGTACTGGTCAGGGCAGGAGAGCAGAGGCATGCAAGCGTGGCGATTTTCCGCTGTCATGTGAGTAGCAGCTGGTAAAGTTCGCTGCGTGCTTTGGGATGCACCAAAACCGACCGCTCCAACTGAAGCAGCTGCTCGGTTGTTGCTGCATAGGTCTTCGAAGGGTCTGCATCAGCTCTCCAAAAGACTAGCAATTCAGAGATGACCTCCAGCTGCGCTTTCCCATCCAGCTGGAACAACTGGAAATACGACGCTAACAGAGCCACGCATTCTTGCCGCTGCGACGAGTTCAGGGCTCTGCAAGCGCAGCTCAGGCATTTCATGGCCCTGAAGAACGGGGACCTTGTGTGCCACCGGCTGTCTGGCGAGGGCAGGTTCTGCTTCACGAGGCACAAGATTTGTCTTGCGGCTATTTCCTGCAGCTGCGCCGCACAAACATCAAGAAAGTTGTGCGCAGCATACAGACCGGCGTCGCGTACCTCCTCATCCTGGCTACCACAGTGTTCAAGGATGTCACGCATCAGCGCAGGCACCATGAGCTTCACAGCGGACTCGGGGAAATGACGTAATTTCCAGTTGGCTTGTGCAAGGACCCACATCTGACCTCAGATCTGGCAGCCAAGCGAGGAAAAAGTCGCTGACGCGAATGACTACATCTTGAACACATCTGTCCCCGCTTTCGGCCCCTGTTTTCGCGAAGGCTGCCGCCACTCCCTTCGAGCTACGGGTCTGCATCAACCCGTGGAAGTGCAGGGCAGACAGGGAGGATTTTAGGATATATTACTGCATTGTCAAGGAACAGTGGAAAACCTTGTACGGCCACGGGTTGCCGCCACACCATGTTTCCAGAAAGCGTGACTTGATAGCTGTCAGGGAATCCTCCGCTGGAGCATTGTCTTGGGCATTAGCAAAAGCGCCCCCGATCTCCAAATATCGCATCACGTCAGAAGACCTGCAACTCCACGAAAGCATGAAACTTGACGGTTTCCTCATCAAAGCAATGTCACAATCACATGTTGCTGCAAGGCCTGTGAAGGCTGCCCAGTTTGATGACGTGCTGTACTAGTGCCTCGCAGCGAAGAGGACAATATTACGGGGATTTATCGGGGGCATGTAGGGAAACATAAATATACATATATTATATATATATATAGAGATAGACATATATATATATATATGTATAGGGTAAGTGGGAAAGAAAATGAAAGCTACAAAACGGTTTAGTCGGTCTAGTGTACAGTCAACCCTTTGAAACCAATTGACTCGCGACTTAGACTTGGAGTGGGAGACATGCAAATCAGCCTCGGGATCTTTGGCTTGCCAGGAGGTCACGACGCCAGCTCTTGATCTCCTTGACCTGGGGAAGGTAGGATCGGCATCGTTCTGGTGAGATGTGCTCGCTAGCGCCAAGCCAAGGTACAGGGAGGTATTCCAAGAGAAGCGGCCTCGCAGCACCGCTCTCTGCATCCACTCCCTACGCTCGTTGTTCTCAGAAAGGGGGACACATGACATGAACTGCGCATGATCTCTGTCAAGATTCAATACCTATCAGTCCATCATCGAAAGATGCATGCAGCCGAGGCGCAGCGGCAGCCAGTATGGCCCCAGAGCGTTGCCGCCGTCCTGGAGGTCTAACAAAAGATAGAGGGAACTATGACTAAAAGAAAAGCCTGGCAGGCATGAATCCTGAAAAGTCTGACGTGGTTGATGGCACGGCGGCTCGGCAACCGGAGCATCTGAGTGCTTTGGCCTCCAAGCTCGCCGTTGGTATACCGTTCAAGGCTCGATTTTGTCGTTTGCAGCCAGGGAACCCCAGCGATGGATTTCTCATTGCCGCTGCACTCAGCCTGAGAACAAGATTTAGGGCCGCGAAGGCCGAAGGCCTGACGGCCAAACGTTGCACACATACAACACGCGGATGCCAAGCCCCGCGCCAGAGTTCAGCTGGAGACGGGCGAGCGCGGCGAATGCAGTTGTGCTTATCTTGGAGCTGCTGCCTTGGACCAGGTTGCAGGAGCCCAAGGTTCCGTGGCTACCCCACCCAAGCAACGCACGCACCGACAGCAAGAGCAAAATGAAAAAATCTACACAAATGACTGGGGGTCCAAGGCCCAGGCTTGGGCCTTCTCTCAATTTCTCATAAGCCCTCGCCTCCCACTATCACCAGTGGGTGGCTTGGGCCAGCCAAGAAATGCAAATGCTCTCCAGGAGCCCTCGCCCCCCACTATCAACAGTGGGTGGCTTGGGCCTACAAATCAACTATACAACCCAGATTTGGTTATCATGGTTTTCTTGACCCCCCGATCCTCTCAGATAAAATCCAAGGGCCTGAACCCTGGAACAGCGCTGCAAACAGGCCAAAATAAAGTTCAAGCAGCTGCTACATCAAGCACATGCCTTAGTCTGGTTCTCATCCCGCACCATCACGGCGCAGGACTTGAACCAAGTCGTCGCGTCGTGCAACCGGATCTCATCCCCTACCATCACGGCAGCGGACTTGATCTGGGTTGTCTTCGTCTTCGTCCAGGACAGGCACTCATGACACATGCCAAGTTCAAAGCACAACACAAGGCACAAAGCACATGAAGCAGCTTCTACACAAAGCAAATGCCAGAGCAAAGCACATGACGCCGCTCAGTTTAGCACGCATGCAGTTTCAGGGGGCATGCTGGGGTGAGGTGGGGCGGGTGGAGTGGGCTGGTGACGGTGATGCAGCCGATTAAAAGTCTGGTGGCCCCTCTGCCCCTTCAAGACAGTGAAATGGCAGATGGCACTTTTGAAAGTTTGGTTTTGCCCAACTGCACCTAACAACCTTCGGGATGTGCTGAAATAGTTGGAAATGGGGCTCGCGATACTCAATAGGCCCAGGGACGGCGCAAGGGGTTCGCAGAGACCGTGAGCAACATCCGCCTGGCTGCTTGCAGGCGCAAACTCCTCCACTGCTCCCTGGTCTCCTCAACACGAACTCACAGAGCCGCAGCCTGCACGCAGGCAGTCGAGGTTGGCGCTGCTTGCTCTGCTGTGTCTTCAACAGCAGCCTGATCAAGCAACGGTGAAGAACAATGTTCAGAACACAGCTGTGCTTTTTTGGCGCAGTGCTGTCAGCAGAGGCCACAAATACACTTCAGCACCCTCAGCGCCCCTGCCTCTGCCTGCCAGACAGCATCCGCCATCTCCAGACCTCGAAACCTCAGCCCATATATGCGCGGCAAACCGTGTCTCATGTAGGGGCATTCACCCCGTTGCACGTGCAGCTCAGAGATCAGCGCGCGTTCCAGCTGCCTGTGGAGCTGAAGGGACCTCAGGCCAAAATCATGCCTCAAGCTCACTCACACCCAGAAACGCGCGCCACCGTTGGCCCGGCAGATACAGCCGAGGTGCTGGTTCTTCAGCTCTGAGAGCTCAGTTTTGAGCTGCCGCAGCCGGTTGGCGAATTGGAGGTTTTCCTCCCGACGCTTACAATTCAAACTCTTCTCGCGCAAGAGAAGCTTCACTATGGCTGTGGAGAAAACACTGGTTCTGCCCATAGCCTGCTCACGCTGACGGTTCTTGGCATGCTGCAGCTCCAGCAACCTGGGAGCGTGGCACGGCAAGAAACTCTCCTCTCCTGCCACGTTCAAGCAGATACTACGCCTCGCTAAGATGCCGGCCCATCCAGATTCTGATCGAACTCAGAAATTAGGTTGGTCACGGAGATGTCGCGCTCACAGTCGGAACCCTCAGGCCTCAAGGAAAAAAGCTGTCAAGAAGTGTTGCCTCAAGAAATCAAGGTTTTCAAAAAGTTGGCTTGAGCGAGAGGGGAAATCTGGGAAAAATGGATGGAGCACCACTCCGCTGCTGGACGAGCTGCATCAATTTGTTGGGAACCACCCGGGCCCCCTCAGGCAAGTGCCTCAGCAAGGTGGGACCTTTCCTCTTGCAAGCAGCTGCACTGGGTGACTCGGAACCGCAGAGAACTGACGAGGGGCATCAAAGAGGAGAGCTCCAGCTGATTGCGGATGCACGCAAGCGCTCGTTCGAGCGCTTCAGCCGGCTGCTCACAGCAAGCCTCGGCTTGCCAGCGCCGCTCGCGCTCGTCCTCCAAAAGCAGGAAAGCACATAAAGCACATTGCAAGAACTTGCTCGGCTTCCCCGCTTGGGGGTTTGGCCAGATAGAAAAACTCCCCTCAAGAGTACTTTCCTGTCCTCTAGCTCTGCACGCTCAGCTTGTTGCAACCTCAGCCGGTCCAATCCCCACAAATGTCGTAGAAGGATACAGTACCGCACATCTCAAAACCAGGTGTGGATAGCGCCGCTCTAGAAGAATGGCAAACAACACAAGGCAGGACAGCACACGTACGCTGATTTCCGAGCCATACACACCAGGGGTGCTGTGGGACAGTCCGCAGCTGCGAGTAGGAACTGTAGTCAGTGCTGATGGTTTGTTGAGGGCAGGACTCGGCAAAGTCGTGGAGGAGCTGTTGTCTCTTGCTCCTCTGCTATCGTGAACAACATGCACTCAACATGCAACTCAGTATGAGGCATGAGTCATCCAAACATGCAACTCTTGGCACAAGTTAGCACGCCGGGTCTTTGCTTTGATGGGACGGCGCAAATCAGCCGAGGCACAGTCGAGGCACCTAGTGTTCAAACAAACAGGCCCTCTCATAACTGGGCACCTGGTGCAATAGTCACACGAATGGTTAGCATGTTGGACCGGCCTCCGCATCCTCTGCCCGACAGGCATCCTCATGAGCTTTGATGTTTTCTTCTGACCTGACGGAAACGTGGAATGCCTAGGTTCCCGGGGTGCTTTACTCACATGGTTTGAGAACAGGAAATCCTGGAAGCAGGTCCGGCGGAACATTCAGCTCTTGATTTGCACTTGAAATTCTGAAAGCTGGGTCTTGCACTGTCAACGCGAATTGGAAACAGAAGACAGACCAAGGTTTGGTGACAGAGGTTCACATAACAGCAACAACATTGCAAACTGAGGGGCTGCTGTCGCGAGTCATCGCCCTGTCAAGGTCAGGGCAGTGAGGATTACACTTTGGAATGCAGCAAAAGCTGACATGCAGCAGATTGCTCGCCACTGCTTGCTCTGACAACTGCAGCGGTTTTTCTCGTGCTGCCGTCTAGGCACGCTCGAGCCATCCGAGCCCTGGCCCGTGCAGGTGCTGACATCATCGCCAACAAAAACTTCAAACCTCAGGGCTGTAGGGCAGCACAGCAGGGAGTTGCGGCTACGAGCCTGGCTCCACAGCTTTGGCGACATCATATCTTTGTGGACTGAGGCTTTGGCGAGACATTTGACAAAGTGCCCACATACTTCTCAGCAGTGTGGTCTGGATTAAGCAGTGTATCACCGGGCCAGAACGCCTGCTCGCCAGGAGCGTCCTGGCCTAACGCAAGCATGGCGGACGCAGGGCCCTCAAGACAGTTCTGTGCTAAGAAATTCCCCTCGCAGACCCTTTGACAATCTCCTGCAGACTGCAAAAACATGACAACAAGTTTGCACAACTGCACCATGCCGGTCTTGTGGCACCTGCAGTACCCACCGGACGTCCTGTATTGAGATTCCTGATTCCACTGAACCCTGCGATGAATGTTTGTGCGAAACTTTTTTGAGGCTTGTAGCTGCGGCGTTCTGCCCATCGAAGCTGTTGCTGCAGCAGACATGCTCTAGATCTTCGGCATTTAAACTCTTGAATACAATCTTCTCTCACCTAGCTTTGCTTCCTTTCGCGGGTAAAATAGGAAAACCCAGACATGAACCTGTATGCTTCATTTTGGGGAAATCCCGTCTTTTTGAAGGCCAAACCTGGAGTCTTACCACCGCAAGCTATTCTCTACCCAAGGTGACCCAAGAGCGACTGAAAATATATATAACTTCTTTCGAACACGCAAAACTGCTTGGGTTTCACCTGCGGGCCAAGCCAGAAGGGCCCTCAGCCTAAACGCCTCCTATATCTGTGCAGAAACTTCAAGGGCCTGCCTTCCTGACACAGCAATGCAAAACAAAGAGGTTGTTCATCCCCTACATCGTGTCTAGGTTCTTCCTGCAACAACAAGCTCCGGAATTCCTTGTATACGACTTCGGACAAGAAGATGGCTGCAACAAAGAAACAAGTCACCGATATCAAAGCCAGTTACTGTTGGCATGCTAGCCACCCAAAAAGACACAAACAGGATTAAAGCCTATGAGTCGGGATGGATGAGTAACAAGGTCAAGGGTCCTACACCCAAACCTCCCCAAACTGATGTGGCAATTTTTTTAAGGGACAATCACACAATCAAGCGTTTGCTGGAGAATGGTACTGCCAGCTACCAGCGACCCACATGGAATACGGCTTTTCCCGATGCCCAGTGCAGGATTCCATCGATTGTTGCTGCACTCTTATCTGTGATTGCTTATGGTGGCGACCTTGGGACGACCCCCTCTCATGATCCCCTTCGCTCAAGTGATCCACAATCTTCGAGACTGCCATTAAGTAAGGCAATTTCAAGTCAACATCATTTGCAACAGCCCGCTA